TTTTGGTGGAATGTTGATGATATGGGCTTCCTGCATCTGGGTTTTGGACTTACCTTTGTTAGGTTGGTTGAATTTGACTTGGGTTTTTGCTATGTAAATGTTTCTTTACTTGGGGGGTTTGATCGAATGAACTTTTGCTGTTTAAATCTAAGTAAGATACATTGGAAGTGGAAATAATGTGTTTAGAGTTGAATGAACAGGAAATGTGGGCTGGATACAGTTGTTTTTCCAATTAAAAACTGTGTCTTTGCTATTTCACCCTTGGATTACGTGTTCTGCTGTTTGTACTTGTCATGCATATTGGCAGATCAGGTGGAGGTTTCTTGTAGTTGGAGATTTCGGTGTTGAAGTTTTGGTGAACTTGGTGATTAGCTTGATGTGTTAGTGATTATGGCCTTGCTGATTGACTTTAAACTTAAAGTGTGATTAATTGCATATAAAGTTTGACCTTTTAGGTTACCTTAATTATTGGTCCATCCTCGGTAGTGGAATAGAGGTCGTTTCTGTTATTTCTGTAATTGGTTTAACTTATTGACTTGTGCTGCGATATATAGCCAACATGCAGGTGATATTGTATAGGATTTTTTGTATCTGGCTACAAAAGTTGGAATGAGGATGAGTGTTTGCTCGAGTTATGCCTCATTTTGATGTGATTTCCATTGATTGTAATATGCTACTCTTAGCATGCTAACCTGAATGGATTTGTATTGCAATTTCTTTTATCTTTTGTGTGAACAAGGCATATTAGTTGCTTCTCCTTATCACCCGAAAGTCCCTTTGCTTAGAGAATTTGTCATGCTATGCAATTTCTACTGTTGTGCCGTCTTGCTTTTATGCTTTTCCCTTTTAGATCTAACCAAGCTGTTTATAGTTGACTCGGTGTACCTCATTTACACTTAACAAACTTTTGTCGTTAGAGCGTGTCTCGTGGCGTGGGTTTGATGCAGAAAGTAAAATCCAGTATTTTCATCTGCCGTGACACTTGGCAGGATTTGTATCATCCGTTTTGTATTTATTTAAATTATCTTTCATTGCATCAAGTTTTTTTTTTTTTTGGGATCCACTCTTACATTTAATGGTATGAGTGTCTACCCTTGTGGGGTTCTGTAAGATCTACATGCCATGTCTTTGTTTCTTATTATGTAAAGTGATGTTTATAACTGCAAGTTGACCTGTTGACCTAAACTTTGGTTGTTACTGGAGATTACAAACTATTTATAGCGTATTTCTTTTTCTTCTTTCTTTATTCATAAAATCTGTGGCACTACTTGTTGTAATTCCACTTTCGCAGCACGAGTTTGGGCATCAAGCGAATTTTTAAAACTGTCTGCATGCATAGTTGCTTGTAAAACATGGTTTTGCAATTAAATAAACTAGAAAATCACTCGGTTTTCATTTAAGCTTTACACCCGTAATTGTTGCTAAACTTACCGAGTCCCAGTACTTGCACATTTATACCAGTTGATAAGAGTCAGGTGAGTTAATCGAAACTCACTATTATATACTCCTTCCCTTGTTTTCTATTTGCCGTGAGGGTGCATTGGGCCGACCGTCTCTCACCAATGAAACCGAAGCATTATTGCTTAAAATCGTAAAATGTAAAGAATATAATATACCTGCTCATGACTTATTTCATTTAATGATTCATCATAATTTTTCATGCTGTTATATGTCATAAATCCAAGTAAACTTATAGTAAGATCTTCTATATCATTCATCAAGACCCAAATATTTCTTGAGGTTGGATATCCTTTGTTGTTGTTGTTGGATATCCTTTGTTGAGTCATGTGCATTTAACATTTACACCTTTTTCACTTATTTGCAGGGAAAGAGTTCTTCAAGTGATCGGCGTAGATGGAGCTTCCGTAAGAGATCTGCTCGGCATCGGGTTTTGAGCAACAGTGTTGGTTCAGAAGTACCTTCGTCTGTGAACAAAGAGAACCCAGAATCGCCAGCTGTCAACTTTTCACTGCATCCCGACTCGTCTGTACATGAGAAGCCCCTGGTTATTCAGTTGACCGAAGAAACAACAGAGTTGACCCATCAACTGGACTCAAAGTTACCAGAGAACCTTTCTGCGATTGAAGATGACTGCAAAAAAGATAAAGTAACCTTCGATGAGCCAAGTGTTGTAATAATCCAGGCTGCCATTAGGAGGCTTCTGGTATGGCCTGATACAGTTTTACAATTTTCACTTTTCAATTTAAATATTCATGCATGGTTAAGTGTTGGTTTTTGTTATTTTTCTCCTTTACCAGGCTCAGCAAGTGGTACTGAAGCAGAAGAACATAATTAAGCTGCAAGCAGCTGTGAGAGGACATTTAGTCAGGAGGCATGCTGTTGGAACTCTTCGGTGTGTTCAGGCCATTATTAAGATGCAAGCTGTCGTCAGAGCACGACTTGCTGGTCGACTTGACAATAATGATCCAACTCTCTTGGTAACAACATTCAACTATAATTAAAAATGATTAATTCCCTTAAAATTATGCTTCCCCTCTGTTCGTCATCTTAAAATAGTCTGCTTCGGATAC